TGGAAGGAGAGACACAGCTCTCAAATGTTGTCCTCAGACCTCCACAAGTGTGCCCACCTGTCCCCCCCAACCTATAATATTAATAATAATAAATAAATCCAATTTTTCTGAAAGGGAAATGCAACTATGTAACAATAAATAACATGAGATTATGTTAATTTTACGACCCTGGCCATAATTGTTGCCATCTCCTGATCATGACCTCCTCCATATCTGTAAACCATTTCCAGCTATACCAAACCAATGCAGCTTCAGCTCAACTGCAGAGTTCCTTTCTTATCCGGTTGCTACCCTTAAGCCCGACAGAGATACAGTAAGGACCTAACGAGAGGTACTAATAAACTGTATTTAGCCAGTTACGAGGCAGGTAGAGTACTTTAGACTTGATACCCTAGATAAAAGGGAGCTGTTGTGAGCTCCTCAACAAGAGGCTCCTTGATGAAGTGATAAATCAGAAAGATAGATCTCAGTGGAACTTAATCATTTCGATGTAAATTAGTCATCTCTGAGAAATAAGCCTAAATAATGAACTAATAATAAAGAAGTGTTAATAATGAAAAAACAAACAAACAAAACAGAAGTTTTCTTAAAACTCCATTCTGCCCTAATTTAAGAGGTAAATCAGTTCAAATGAAAGATGTCACTGTTATTTAAACTCCATTCACTTATCAAATTATGATTCATGTAAAGAGAGTGCATTTTTTAAGACTATTCAATTATTGTATAAGTCAACGTCACTTCCAGTTTTTGGAAAATTGATATTAATCCCTTGTCACTGCAAAAAATATAATCGAGTTTATCAAATTAATTTCTCAAAGGCCACCTGATAGCCACCAGATGGGAACCCAGGACTCTGTCAAATCAGAGCTATGAGCTAAATGTAGTCCTGAAGACTCTGCATTGCCAACTACCTGCCCCACAGGTTCCTTTGAAATCACAAAATGTAAAAGTTTCCTATTACTTTTATAAATTTCATTTGACTCTAATGAAACATGTCCTATCCACAATGCTTACAATAACTATTTTCTATTACAATAACTATATTCCACACAATATGGAATCATCATTAACAGACCTGGTAAGGTCCTTGAGTAAATGCCTATTGAGAGAACAGGCACACATTAATAAATTTTCTCAAGAAAATCCATTTCCATTTCAAGGTCTGACATTTTATTTAGAAAAATTATGCCCTTTCTTTTAATTATTCCAGTAAACATAATGAGGGTGTCGCTAAATACACCTCAGAGGACTTGATTTTCTCCATTTTTTAGTCATACGAGTGTATTTGTAATTAAAGGCATGCTGCATTAATGATGCTGGAAGTCTCCATGGTAAACATTTAATGTCCACCTCATAACATTATGCCAAAATTACATGCACAAAAGACTTTTTAATAATCTTTGTTTTCTCATTTCGTTTTGATTGGCTCTGAAATCCGTGGCAGCACTGGAGGGCTCCTATTTCCACAGCCATCAGCACTTCTGCCCCATAAATTGTACAAATGTACATGGCGCCTTTCGTCTGGAGGCTTCTTTTCCATGCTTCTGTTTAAGTTATACAGAAAATTGGCTGCAAGCTGGAGATAATTGCAGATAATTTTTCCATTTTTAAGCCACTGGGGTGTTGCCTGGGGGGCACGACAGCTCTGTTTATCTAAACACAAAGACCAAGCCACAGCTCTGTGTTGTCACTTGGCTTTACACACAGGATCAGATCATCCTATCTGCTCCTTATGCAAATTAAATCATTGTCACTAGATGACCTGTGTCTTCTGATAGAGGCATGCCACCTGAAGCTTGTATTATGGCTGAAAGAACAGGATTGACACAAATAGGTTACTTCCGCTGTAAAAGCAAAAGCAGTCAATTCTGTGCCTTGCACATTTCTCCCCATTAACAAAAACAGTGTTTGTTTTTAGGCACTCTCAATTTGGAAAGGAGTATATTAAATTAAAAAGAAAACAAATATTTCACACACACATACATATATGATATTCACACACATATATGCTCTATATTCATTTGTAGTCTCTATTACACTATCATAGACAGACACATTTTTCCAATAAACTATTGTTCGTGTTTGTATAATTAATATATTACCATGTCAAATTACTTGACATAGAAAATTTGACATAGATAGGACATCCAGGTTAGCAAGCAGAGACCTATTATTAAATGGAATCATAAGCTATTTTTTCCCCTTCAAATTCACTCTGCATTAAAATAAGTGCAATATTCATGGGTGGTCACGGGCATATACTGACAGAGAAAATACAGAAGGCAGCACCATGGATTTTCAGTGCAATACCCATGAACCTCCACTTTATATTAACGACATTAACCCTGGGAATTACAGACTATTTCTATGGTTGAATGTATTCTCTGTGTTCAGAATCCCTGGAGTCATTACTAATAAGAGTGTTAGGAGCCGAGGAGGCAAAGCCATTTTACAGTAAACATTTACATATAGGGGCTAAGTAGTGGCTGTGTCTATTTGGCAGCCCCTGTGATGTAATAGGCCATAACGACTCTGGAGGAGCTGGAATGGAAGCGAGTGTCAGGGAGCGGAGGACCCATAAGTCCCAGCATAAGTGACTTTATGGATTCCCATTAGACTGGGCTAAGGAGCTCCTGAGCAGACCTGATATGACAGCATCCCGAGATGCTTTTACAGCCTGTGTCAAGAACTCTTACACTGAGGCACTTTACAGAAAATCTACAACTACGGAAGCGAAGTCGGGCTGTATTTGGGCCATTATCATTGTCGTGGCATATGATATGCATACTAATAGTTCCAAAGTTCACATTTAAAGGAGATTATTAAATCTGCTATGCTAATCATATGCACATTACATTACAAATTAATGACTGATAGGTAGCTCAGAAATCTCACACCCTGCCCAGTGACATGCTTAAGTCTACCAGCGCTTCCAAGGGCCTGCACTGCATTCCAGTGCAACCTGGGTGGGGTTTCCTATGAACAGATATGTGTAACACAGGTGTACTTAGGGCCAACCTAGGAATTTTCTTTTAGTTATCTTTTCTCATGGTTCCTTTACCATCATTTAGCCACTGACTTGATAGGAATTAACTTACTTAAGGACCTTAGACCATGTCCCTGTGAAAAGCTAGTCTGGAAGTTTGTGCAATGTGTCCTTTCCCGCTTCTACTGGGAGAAGCAGGCGTGCTGAACATGGGAATTCTTTACATGTTGGGCAGGAAAGATGCTGAGCAAGTGTTCTCTGGCCAAAAGTGAATTCAGGGAACCAACACACACACAAATCCTACCTTGAACACATCCTACAGCACTTGTGTGAGTAGAAACTGGACCTTGGCAAAGGACATTAAGTACTTCACTTAGATCTGCAAATTATTAAGCAATTCCAAAAGAGGCACATTGTTCAGAGCATCACAGAAACCAACAGATAGGGCGAGAGTGCTCTTGATGAGAAAATCTGGCCAGAATGCAGGCTCCTGGAGCTTAGATCACCTATAGCCAAACAGTAACTTCATACCACATTTGCAACGAAATTTTAAATTTGATCTTTCATAAGAAATTACTACTAAAGACTTCATATAAGGCCGACAAATGTCCCTGCTCTTTCATAGATTTATTGGAGTTTTAGTGATACGTTTGAAAAAACTCCACTGGAAGCCCGTGGTTTCCAAAATGCAACTTCTTTCAGAAGTACATACCTGTTACCCAGAGAGACGGGCCCTCTCTTTGAAATATTTAGTCATTTAGGGCACTTTAGTCATAGTGACACCTAATAGCCAAGATCTTTTTCTCACTCTCCACAAAATCAGGTTTAGACTATAATTCAAAGCAGTCCCCAAAGGCACTTCTGAAAAATGGCAAGCCCTTAGCTTTTAGGTGAAAACACTCTTTATTGCTCAAAATTGTTTCCTGCTACAAAACCTTTTCTATAGTGCTCCGCCTGAGACAATCTTATGTTAATTTAACTCACTGGGGACTGTGAGCAGATGCTACTTTGATTAATAGTTTCACTATCCTGAAAATGCCAGGCCAAGTTCAAGATAATAAAGTCAGGTAATATACTATTAAAATCTGCCACATGGTTATATCTGTTATGTGGATTAAAATGGGGTCACGGTTCTTATATCAAATAAAGACTGCCTATAATAATAAAAGCCAACAACATAAACCAAGTGGACATACTGTCTTGATTCCTTACCACTTTAACTGACACTATATTAATACCCATCTCTTTAATAACACTTTACAGGTGTATTTTCGGCTATGATTTTAGTTGTCTATTTGGAAATGCAACATGTTCCTCCAATACTACCTTTCTCCTAGCAGATGTTCTACCTGGAATAGGTCTTAAATACACCCCAAGAATAAAGAATGTTATAACTCCTCTTATTGTTGTCTGAACTTACATGCCCCCAGGTCATTGTTTTCAGCAAATGTGTTTTCAGCATTTCAGCATCCACCCTCAAAATTTCCACAGAAATGTCGTAAGGATATGCATGAGTTGGTAAATAGGATCTCTGGAAAAGTCCCTCAAGAAAGCCTACTGTCCTTCCTTCTTCTTTTCCTCTTGCTGGTCCCTTATCTGATGAAACCCTATTACAGATCCTGTCGGGTAAAGGAAACAGGAGATCTCAACTAATCTTGATTTACTAACTGATTTTCACCATTAATGTAACCCAGCTGACCTAATGCTCCAGTTTCTGAAATTTAGCCATCAGTTTGGCTTTTTGATTTTTAATATTTACCCACTCCATCTGTTTCACTGAACCCTTTGGCTTGCCGGCAAGCAGGAAGTCCCCACATATCAATCACATCATATATATTGTAATCCCAGACAGGACAAGCTTGCCTCCACTGAGAACGAAGCCAGCCTCTCAACACGCATCTGCCACCTGCAGATTTGCCTCTGCCAGACTGAGCCTTCACACTCCCCACACGGGGCTGCCTATGAGATTCAACACCATTTGTGTGAAATACTCTGCTCGAAAGCAGTGCCTCACCATTGCACAGAATGACTCAGGAGGGTCTCCACAGGTAATATCCGGAGGGTCCAGTTTCACCTTCAGATATTTTGTCATGTCCGTGGATTCCGGCTGGCAGGCCATATAATCCCAAACTTTCCCTTCTTCTGTGTAAATCTGAGTTTTACATACATCGTAATGTCCCCACACTAAAGGGTAGGGCTGCATCACAGAGGACACTGTAACCCACAGGGCATGAATCGACAGGAATCTTGACAAATACATCTCTAAAATCTTGGCAGTCTTCGTGTCTTATTTGCAGTCAGTGTCTCCGTTACATATACATGAGTATTGTGTGTGTGTGTGTGTGTGTGTGTGTCTTTATGTAGGTAGGTCTGTATATTAAAAAAAAAAATATGCTGAAGTCTCAAAGCAGATTCCAAAACCAAATGTGATAGATTGAAATACTGTGTGTGGTCAGGTACGTTGAGGACTTTGGTGGAAGCCTAATGTGCTTCTGTGTTAGGCGTTAACAGCTTGCAGCCTTTTCTCCTCGTAGAACATATCTATTAGACTTTTGTGAAAGATGTCCAGGAGAAGATAATAATTTAGCAAAGTGATGGCTCTCCCGTTGTACATTCGATAATCCTGAGTGATCCTCAGCATTCAGGGTTCACTGGGGCTGCTCAGGTGTGAAGATGGATCAGTATCTGAAGCACAAGGATGAGTGTCTATGGTCCTGTGTCTGTTTCCCAGCAATCATTTTCCTTTTTCTTCTGGTACCAACACCTTTTTGGAAACAATAAGAGTAAGAGTTATTGCCCTGGAATCAATACATTAGGAAATGTATGGTACGTGGACATTTCAGAGGCTCGGTGTGATATAAAGCAAATTGGTGTAATATGGACAAGCTTCAGTTAGATGACTTGCTAGGATGATCAGGGTACCTATCCACATTGGGGAGGATTTTGATATGGAAGATCTGACTCTTCCATAAGAAAGGTAGATGAATATGTTCTGGGAGAGTTAACAGGTTTTTTGCTTCAAAAATTTTATTTCCATCTTAACTACTGAGAGCAAGCTTCTGGATTTAAACAGCTCTCATAGCTAGCTAAAAAATCTTCCAAGAGAACAATGGGGATAAAGAGAGCCTTTATAATAATGACAACTACTTATGCCTTTTTTCTTTTGGCAAAGAGACCCTAAAATTCTCTAAATTCCTTGCAAATTTCTTAGCTTTTGTTAGGGGCAGGTGAGTGAAAACTGGTCTTGTTGGCACAAGCCTGTCTCTGAATTTGCTCATTATACTGGAAGAATTTAACATCTTTTATTTAGTTGCATTTACTGAAAAAGATAATTAGACTCTCTGAAAATACTCAGAAAATAGAACCAAAGGGGCATATATTCCTTTCATAAGAATCTTCTATTTTCTTACATCTTTTTATAGCTGTCACATCTGGATTTGCAGTTACTTTCTGTAACAGAAGAGAATTTGTCCCAAAGGTGGATAGTATATGCTGCTTTAAAAGTGAAAGCTTCGTAGTAAAACACACAGTTTAAAATGCACATATAAAAATAGCTGAGGGTGAGCTGACAGGCCATGAAGCAGTATAATAGGGCACTGATTCTAAGAGAAAATAAAAATTTCCATTTCAATGTGCTTTGGGTAAACCGATAACACAGCCTACATAACTTACAGATGCAAGTCACTGGTAAGTTCCACTAGCAACTTTTCAACTATTCAAATATTAACAAATGTTAACATTTGAAACCCAGATGTGAAAGTATACTTTCTTAGTTATTTAGTTCATATTCCTAGTTCAAATTATTAAATACTTTTCAGTTTTAAAAGAACAACAACAAAAAAAAACTATAGCCTTGGAAAATTCCATTATAGACTCTTTGATTCATATTAAACAGTTTAAATAAGGAAGTTCTCTATCTTCAAGCAATCTTATAAAGGGAATGCACTATATTTAAATAATGCACCATCTTAAAATGAACGAAGCCACAGAGACTATGAAATGCCAACAGATGGTTGAATTGTGTTTCCATAGCAAAGTAATTTATAATAATTGCTTTATGGATGCAAGTGCAATTTTCATTATATTCAATTCATAAAATGTTATCATACAGCTGCAATTTGTGATATTTTCTATTAGGAAAAGTGTTGAATATTTGAGTTCCCATAAAACAATAATTAGCAATGTGTCTAAACATGTGTAAACTACAGATTTAAATTTGCTTCTTTGTGACTTTGACACTGTTCAGTGGCATGCATTTGGAAATCTTAAACTAAAAGGAATAGAAAAATAAAACATTACAGGAGCATGTGTTGTAGCTACTCGAACTTGTCTGATTTTTTTTGTTTGTTTGTTTTTGGATTCATTAAGTTGGTATTTTCAGAAATGCCCAACACATTGACGATTAATAATCTGAAAAGGCATTGAGACGAAAGAAATGTACATTTCCTAGACTAATTTTTCAACTATGTTTACTACATCCTTAAAAGGAAGCAGACACTTTGGAAAGTGAAGAAAAAGAGCATTAGAGGTGAGGTAGTATAAAATCAACCAGTTCCAAAATTATTAACAACACTTTTTTAGTTTCAAAACCCAGCAATTTGTAATTCAGGAACAATATAATTTTAAAGACTTGGAACCAATGCCTTTGAGTTTGAATTGAGTGAATATTTGGTTAATTTGTAATATTATTTTTAAAAGACCTTTTCAAGTATATAGACTTAAATGACCCTCGAGATTACTCTTCATCCTTTTTAACCAGTCCTGTTCCCTCAACCACCTACCCTTTGTTACTCTGTCTTTGTGCCTAGTTTACCTCCATGACCTCATCTGGTATATTTCTACATGAAAATGTGGGCACTAAGGAAATACATGTAACTGTCATCACGCCCTGACGACAGCACTTCCAATGCAGCGGCTTCTCATTAAAGTCTACCAGACTGTAATGATGGCCATTACACAGAATTATGGACTACATCATTGATCGAAGTTAGAGAATTGACAGGGGAAAATGCAGAGGGGTGCAAGATATTTGAATACGAGGCCGTTGCAGGACTGTGCGGCACACATTCTTGACAAGAGGCAGCCAATTATAGCTTAAATTTCTGGCACCTAACCAGTTGTGATTAATAGTTTTCCATTACATTACAGACATATTATTAATGTATTAAAAATGTCAAGCTTTGGCAAGCACTAATATGGTGTGGCTCAGTTGGTCTGCAGAATTTACATTTAATGAGCTCCCATTGACACGGAAAAAGGTATTGACCACAGTGTAATGCAAATCAGAGTACAGTCATAAGCTGTTCTTTAACATAATTATATTTCCCCTTCTAACTTTTAAGTCTGTAGCACCCTCTCTTTTAGACCCTTCATATCAAAGTTGCCTTCCTTCCCACTATCATACAGGCTATCAAATAAATCCTTCTACTTCATATTAGAAGAAATTAAATCTATAAACTTTAGTGACAAAGAGGCCTTATAAGAATCAGAAATTTGTTGTAAAAGTATAATTATGGGATTTTTCAGAGAAAGTAAATATTATACAAAGAGAATATTATTTACACCACCGCATCCAACACTTAATGCTGCTGTTTTCCAGCTGGCTCTCCTCTGAACCGGGTTAAAAATATCAATATCTTCTTAAAAGCTAGGCCATGACTGCAAATGGCTAGACAAACTGATTAGAGGATGGGCAGCCAATGACATATTTGGGGACTTAGTATCCTAAATGCATCCCTTCCTTCCGGCACATAACTGAACTAAATGCCAACTAGTGTGAATTTATCTCAAGGGTCTGGATCATCCAGGTAAGGGCAACTTCAGAAGAGCTCTGGGCAGTTCCAGGTCTGAATCTGCACTTTCTCCACCTGGGAACTCAGAACAATCAAAGACTGCCATCATCTCTACCTATGAGCTGAAGTAGTAAGAAATCACTACTAATCCTTTGTGTTTAAAAATTTTCCCCATTAATATGTTACAAGCCCACAGATCTCTGGCATACGAATTTGCAGAGCCAATGAAAAAAATGCAAAACTACATGGATTTCAGGTTGATAGGTATTATTGATCAGGGCTAAAATAGACTGCAAAATGGCTTTGCATCCATGGAATGTACATTTTTTCCAGGATTCGATAACTAATTCCCTTCCACCTTGGATTAACTTTGCAGAAGGAATTTCAAAAACCCTTCTCGTCATCAGAAAAAGAGAAAAAAATGGCTCCGAAGATATTACACAAAACTAATAATGATTAAAAGGATAAGCCATTATAGTTCCAAAGAATTGCCAGGGTCATCAACTAAGAAGAAAATATTGCCAGTAAATCTACCAACTCTCACTAGATTTTAGCATTCTTTTTATTATATAATCCCACTAGGAAGTGGGGGTGTGGTAATAGGCTAAATATTCCATAAATATGCAGCTCATCGGGACACCTGAAATAGACAGCTATTGACTCATTCTATGCAGACATTTAGATTTTTATAAAGCTACATGTTTCTGAATGGATATGAACAGAAGGAAATTTGAAGATAATCATATTTCATTGACTGAAGTAAATAAAGGGGAAACAATATGCAAACTCCATAACCTGTCAAGACTAGCAGCTGTGAACATAGTCACAATGAGATCACACGTTAGCATACATTTAATGCTCTTTGCACATGTCCATTTGTTGTGAAAAGGGAATCTTTTGATTTCTTCATGAGGGACAGAGGCTCAGGCCTTTTGGCTAACTATCTCAAAAACATAAGGAATCTAACATGTAATGCAACAATTCTGACATGTCTTACTCATACTTGGCTGAGTTTTATAAAGAACAATCATGGAAGTCTTAATAAAAAAAACAATTATCACACACTGTATTTCAAAGGTTTCTATTTTTATCAAAAGATAAATTGATGGAAGCCGGTACATATTTTCCAGGATGTCTGTGGAGGGGTAATACGTAAAATTACTTCAGAATCAACTAAGCCTAAAAGAAACCTGGCATTCAGATGTCATATGAAGGATAGAGCCTTCTTTCTAATATAGGGAAGTTCAGAAATACAACCTTCCACATACACAGCTGAAAAATTCTACACCCACTTGAAGTTGGAAACAGAACTCTAGATTCTAAAATTAAAATTACTTTCTGGAAGTATGTTGAATCGCTTACTTCCCCATAATGCAACATAATTCACACATACACAGGTGTACACGTGTAAATACTAACATGTATTTGTTTTCCTAAGTCATATGAAATTTTATTCCCTTGCCAGTGACTTGGTACTTTTGTTACTCACAAACTGTCTCCAAACCCTTATTTACAATATCTCCCAGCTAAATGCATAATGGTTTAATTGTTTAAAGGTATTGTCTGATGCTTTGCAGACAAAAGATAGAAGCAAAGACAGGTTTTTGCTCCCCCTGGTAAACACATGAAGGAAACTTCGACATGTGTTAGCTGCCTCCTAAAAACAACAAAACAAAACAAAGCTAGCCTGAACCATTTGAACCCACATGCCCAACTGACAAAGCTCTCAATGGGAACACAGTTGTATATCCAAATAAAATAGTTCCTTTTAAAATAAGTATGGAGATTCCTCTTAGAGAAAACTATAGGAAATGCCAACAAATTAAAAGCCGTATACATGAAACATTGACTGCCTCCATGTTGGTACTTAGTGATGAAAGATTTCTCATGTCATGGTATCTAGAAGAAAAAAAAAACATCCCCCTTATATATATGTAAGTGGGACAGCGTGGCATGTGAAATGTCAGATGTATTTCTTCTTTGCACCCTGGTTCTCCTTGCAAGGATCCAGGTTCTAATGAAAGATTGAAAGTTTCTTATGTTTAAAAATATTCTTGGACAATTATTGAGCTGATTTCCCTCTGCCAAAGAGAAGAGCTGGTAGGTAAGGCATTCAGAAAGACAAAGTACAAAATACTTGCAGGCAGACCTCCTTGCAGGTTAGAGGTACTTTCTTCTCCAAGAACCACACAAATCAGGAGATCCTTGCCCTCATCAGACGTCGATGCAAAACTTTCTAGCAAGCTTAATCACTATGCATATTTGAACAAATGATTTTGAGGGAAACGTCTTTGCTTTCTTTTTTTTTTTCTTCTTCTGTTAAGATAGGAAAACTTTTAGTGTTTTCAGTCATAAACCGAGGCCTGATTTCCAGAGCAAAGCTGCTGCCAGATTCACCATATGTTTAGTGGAGTTCTGAGTCTTGCTCAGAATTTTCCACTCGGAAGAGTGACAAAGTGTTGTGCTGGGAAGTTATTTGCTTGCTTACTCCTTTGTAAGGAAACGGGCACTAAAGAGGGCACAGCTAGAGGACCTGTAGTCTACAAACCTACACCTGGTGCAACTCTAAGAACTCTGCCTGCCACTTTTGCAAATGAAGTCGCTTTAAAATCCCCCTCCCTTCTCCCCAAGGCTTTTCCTACCAGGCCCTGTAAAATGACAGCTACTCTTAAAGAGATATGGGGGGGTGGGGGGGGGGGGGGGGGGAAGAGTCCCTGGATGAGGTTACCAAAATAAACAGCAGAGGGCGCAGTTTCTGTTTTTAAATCCAAGTTTTCTCTCCTATGAATCACTTAATTGGTTATTTTGGGCCCAATAATATTCGGTATTATTTGTATTATATATAGATATTCACAGATCCATAGCAGAGAGAAACTCCATGTCCCTAGCTGAATCCATCAACTGATAATGCGAAACCAGTAGGGGAGGAAAGGCTCCCCCACCAGCTTTCCAATGCTGTCTTTCCCTCCTTCCACGTTCTTCTCTCCCCAGCTGCACAATGTGTGGTAGTAACGCTTTAATCTCGCACCAATAAAGGAGATTAAAAGAGGGGACTTCAAAAGCTCTCCACAGGGCGAGCAACAAGGCAAGTTTTTATTTATTTTTTTCCCTGATGAGAAAACTGAAAAAAAGGAAAATTAAATTATTAAAAAAAAAAAAAAAAAAAGCCTGTGCGACGCGTGTGGTCAGGTGTGTGTGTGGGAGACTGAGAGCTCGGCGCGTTGCGGGTGGGTGGATGGAGGCTCCGGATGCAACAGCCAGCGACCCTGTGCAGGGCGCACGCCAGGGATGGAGTGTGGGTGTGAGCGGTACGGGCTCCGGAGTGCGCACAGGCTCCGCGCTGCCTCCTTAAGGCGCTTTCCAAAGTTCCTCGCCCACCCGGATCTCCCCTCCCGCCCTCGGCGGGCACCCGGGGTTGACAGAGAGAGGGATGGCAGGAGGGAAGGAACTGATGCCGAGGGGCCACCCAGAGAGGCGCGGGTCGCTGGAGGAGAGGGGAGTCAGCTAGCACTTACCCGAGCCCCCCTCCGGCCCTGTGCCAGGCGGGAGCTGAGCCGTCGGCGCGGGGCGGCGGCCCTGCCCAGCTTGGTCCCGCGTGGGGCGGCGACCGCAGCTGCGGGGACCCGCTGGCGGCGCACGGGGAGCGGGTGGAATGGGAACGCGGCGGGTGTGGACCCGAGTCGCCGCCACCGCAGCCCCGGGGTCCGTATCCCACCCTGCAAGCGCCCTGCGGGCGGAGGGGAGGAGGAGTCCACGGCCCCAGACCCCACGGCGCCCGGCGCCTCCCGTCCCGCTTACCTTGGCCTCGCGCCCCTGGGGCAGCCTCGTCGCGCGTCGCCCCTCTCGGAGCCGGGACCCGGACAGGGGGAATTCCTTCCCGTTGACGTCCTCTTCCAAAATGCAAAAGATCAGTGACTTTGACAGGTAGATGAGGGGGAGGGAGAGGGGTGGGCGGAGAGGAAGGGAGGATGAGAAAGGTGCCTCTCCCTCCAAAAATACAGTGGGATTAGGAACCAAATCGCTGCCTTCCAAGGTCTCGCCAGCCGTCTCCGCTCGCAGCCTCCCCGCGCCGCCGCCACCGCCACTTCTCGTCTTAAACTTTTACTGTGGGTTTTCTCTCCCTCTTCTCTATTTCTATTCCTTTCTTCTTTCTTTTCTTTTAAGCCGCAGAACGATTTTTTTTTCCCCCCGATCCCGGGGGATCAGAACCAGCGGCCGGGCGGTTCTATCCCGCTCGGCACCGCTTTCATTTTATTTCAGATGAAGATGTTGGGTCTTTTTTTTTTTCTTTTTTGTCAGAAGCGACATAAATCAGGACAATTAGCCTTGGCGCCAAGAAGAGCCTCTCGAAGCAATTTTGCCCCGGTTTCCTTCGCGCATTCCTCCACTCAAGTCAGAAATGTCACTGCACATAGCGTTGATGGCTGCGAGACGCGACGCACCCAAAGTCCGTTTGATGAAATATACATGGCCCCAAGATGCTTCTGGATTGCGGTTCGCGGCTTCCCAGCCCCCGCCCGCGGCGCCCGGCCGGGACCCTGCTCCCAGCCCGCAGCCTGCTCTCGGCAAACTTAGGGGCGCGGACGAATTAGAGAGTGAGCGCCAGGGGCCGGCAAAGCGACTAGCGACGAAACAGCCCCGGGAAGCCGCAGCCCTCGGAGGGGTGGCGTGTTCTTCTCACTTAAAAAGCAGATCTTCTGCAACTGCCAGCGAGTGGAAGGATTGCAAAAAACCTTATACTACCTCGAGACCTGGGCGCTCCGAGCGGTCCTAACTCCGTCCCGCTCGCTGATTGTACGGCTGCTGCTCTGGCCACCGCCGCCACGGCTGCCGCCTTGTAGACACCTCGGGGTGCTGGGACAACAAGACCACCCACATCCTTATCTCCCACCTTTGTTGATCCACAGCAGCGCGGTTTCTACTGGCTCCCTCTCTTCTTCCCCTACTTCTGCCCCCTCCCCTTGCTCCTGACTTACCTCCCTACAGGGTTCCCAAGCACACCCCCTTCTTGCTAACTGGGAGCACGGTATTTTTTTAACTTGCAATTAGTTTGCCTAGCCAGAGCCCCCAAGCTCCTTGGTGTGAAATTCTTCCCACTTTAGAAAGTTGAAGTTCAAGTAGGAGCTTTGCTTCACAGGCGTCCTTGGTTTTCCCCGATGACAGACAAAAGCCACCTGGCCCCAAGGCTTTCTTTCCTACTAATGTGTCTCAGACTCTCCTAGGAGACCCCTTAGCTTCTTGTTAATGTTACATGCAAACCAATCCGACTTTCAGGAAGAGGTAGGGAGAGATTTTAATTAGAAAAAAAAGGACACTGCGATAGGGAAAATATTGATCTCACAAATGCACAATCATCTCCATGACAGCCCCCTAAACCGGAGTTTTCCTATACTGTAAAGGAAACAAGCCACGTAAGAGAGCGGGCATGCAAGGGCGGGTAAGCTGGTGTTTTGACTAACATGTGATTTGATTTGACAAGCAACCTTGTCTCTGTGGTTCAAGGCTTTGAGGGAGAGACTGACAAGAAGGTGCTTGCTCAGGCTGGTGGGGGTAGGAGGTGCTGCTTCTGAGGGAGACTGGAGTAGGGATGTTCAGTCATTGTAAAACAACAGGTCAGAAATGGGTACCTGTGAGCATCAGGTCACTAGCAACATGCTCCATAATGAAGGCAGGGCGCTAAGATTGGCAGGGACGTTTTTTCAGCCATGGTTGAGAATGGTGTTGGCAGAGAGGGTATGTGGTGAGAAGACTACTGAATTGAGGCCTGGACAGGAAGGAGGCTGGGATTCCACACAGCAGGACCTGTTTAGCACCTTGGCCTCCCCTTAACACTGGAGAAGACAGGGAATCCCCCCTCTGTTCCACTCAGAGCTAGAGTCTGGAATTTCTCTTCTTTGTGGCTTTTTCTTTGTTCTTTGACCCTGAAATTTCAAGAAAGGAGTCTCACCCTTGGGGGATGAGGCTGCTGGCAAGCCCGCAACCCTTGTTAGTTAGCTCTGCCTCCAGCCTGTCTCTTCCAGGTTCAAAGCACATTGATGTTGTAGAAAGACCGCCTACCCTTCCAGTCACCAACCAACTCTCCCTCTCTGCCCCCCCCCCCCCCAGCCCTGTCTTTTCGTGAGGTGCTTCTGTTCGGCAGGACTGATACAACATCCACAGTGGCAACTGGCCTGGACCCTGGACCACTGACAGCTATCAATCAGCCTCTCTTCTCCTCACCGCCCTTTGCAATCAGGCCAAAGGAGCCCCTTGTGAGTTCTCAGTCTCAGCACCAACTGACGCTTCGACGTGTTTCTCCAGTAAAAAGAAGCAGATTTAGACACCAAGAGAATTTCCACCAGAGAGATATTGGGGTCTTTGAAACATTAACCTCCACAGCTAACCCTTCCTACCGTTCGGATACCTGTCCTCGTGCCTAGGATTCTGGGTTCTGCTGAGTCTTCTGTGAGTTATAGACATCTGACTACTTCTTGAAGCCGACAACAGCCCCCACGGTAGATCTGCTGGGGAGATGGGGCCATTTCATGTCTCCCATGGAAACAGTAGATCTTCCAGAGTTGAGTTTTCTCTCCCCCGTGTGCCTGACCTCTGCAGAGACTTAGAATACCAGGCACTGCACACTTGGGTCTGAACTCTGGGGGGCACGTCGGGCTCCTTGGGGACTGACTTTTCAGCACCTAATTCAGTTCTCCGCAGTCTGGTTTCCTCCTGTCCTTCAATGGGAGTAGAGCTAGAAGAGGTTTGGCTGTCAGCTCTGGTATTTTGTTGTGTTTCTCCCAAGCAGAACTTTGAGTGGATGTGGCAAACCCAAACTGAGCATCCATGAACTAATATATGCATGTATTAAACTTGATTTCCTGAATATATCTTTTCATGTTTGTATGTAGTAAGAGTCAATCAGAAACTTACTTCAGGTATCTCATTGACATCCTGGAAAATAGTATAGGACATGCTTTACTTTTTGTCTTTAGTAAGTACACACACACACACACACACACACACACACACACACACACACACACACCTATATATTTAGCTTTCTTTGGACAGAATGGTTTTCTGTTTTGATTTAACCTTTCAACTTTACTTTTCTCTCTTCTTTTAGAGGTGAACTGTTTGATCTTTTAGCTGTCTATAGCTTCAGCTCTCTGGCTAGTTTCCATGCACTTCTCATTCTTCTTCTATTTAGATATCCATTTATTTGTAACCCTGTTAGATCTCTAACTGTTCCTCATTTTTCTAGGTTGGTAGCTTCTAAAAATCACTTTAGAGAGTTGGCAGGGTTGTCTGAATACTTGTAACTCTGGTGTGCCAAATGCTAATGATGGCAGATTTGCAACTTACCTGGTCCAAGAAGACATGTGTCTTTTTATAACTACTATATAGTACCAGATATAAAGTGGGTACAAGATAAATGTTTGTTGGTGGTGTGAATAAATTTTGACCATTCTCGGATTCTAATGAAGTCTATCAGGTAATGGGAACTAACCCCCACCTATTAAATTAAGACTTAGACTTAGAAACATTCAAATCAGGCATGTCAGGAATTTGTGGTGGCTGTAAAAGAAATTCCACAAAGTTAATGGCTTATAATAATAATAATAATAATAATGATAATAACAATAACAATAATAATAAATACATGTTTTGCACTGGTCTGGAGGACAAAAGAGATTGGAGTACCAAAACAGTTGGGTTCTAGTTAGAGGCCTCATGTGTTTAGATACCTAAGTCTGAATTCTCATATGGAGAGAGGAGGGCTGGTGTGCTCTGGAGTCCCTTTAATAAATGAACTAATCTTATTAATAAGGGCTCCACTCTTGTGACCTAGTTACCTCCTCGATTCTCCACCTCCAAATAGCATCAAACCATCAAGGTGGGGATTAGAATTTAAACATAACATGTGAGAGTGGACAGAAAAACTTAGCGGGTGGCCAGGGGCAATACAAGCGCTACTTGAATCATTATGGACTATGCTGTAAGTGCTTTCTACAGGTACTGCCTGTATCCAATAAAAGTATCCAGCTGGCTGTGATCACGTCTTTTGCACTCACCCACCTTCTCCCATGTGCTCAGGGAGGGCATGTTTGTTACAGAGCCATCACCAGTCTCATTTTGACAGATTTTGAGGTTCCTTTACCTGGAGCTTTACCTGCTTAAATTTTTTGACCTTTAAACCTCCAATGAGCTCTAAACATTTGATCGGGGCTCTATCATTAGGGTATGCTGGCATTTCCCTGCTTTTGTATTGTAGACGTACCCAGAAAGCTCTGTTTTAATGTTGTAAGTTTAGAAGACCGTTTCATTTAGCTTCTCTCAGGGCCGAAGACAGACCAAAGGAAGAATTGCATGATGTAAGGCAAACTTCACACACTTACAGGGTACTGATACGGGAACACAAAGACTAAACTAATGGTGTAAGCCATTTGGTGGTTAATGATTGATGCAAGGAACATGACCCCCAGCAAGCATGCGCTTCTTAATATATGGCACTGCAAATGAAAGTCGGGAAATAATAAACTTTGTAATTTCACAAAATATAGCTTTGGGTTTCTTTTAAGAGAAGGCACACTAACTAAAAAAGATGGGTATTAGTCAAATATTTTATCAATCATTTCTATTCTAACCTGAGGATGCCAAAAGTGCTTTTATAGTGTTCTTATTTTTGTTTACCCTTTCTCATCCATAAAAAGCCGGTAGTAATCATCTGGTAATTAATATATGACCTTAGACATTTTAATTCAACCAATTAATTCGTTGAAACCAGGACACACTGAGACCCCACTGCCCACTTTTTATTCTTTGTTTCTTCTTTGCTCCCTCCCGAAATTCTTTCTTTCTTGTACTCATTTTTTTCCACGGTTTATTGTTCTTCTACATATATAAGACAAGCATGCCACCATTAGATTTGGGTTATGCTATGATCTATACACACTAAGTAAGATCGTGGGAACTGTTTTGTTATGTTTAGTTTGCCTGCCTAAGGCCATTAACCTATTTCTTAAAAAAAGATGAGATCACATCATTCATTTGGTATAATGGCTGAAAACGTTCACTATCAAAAGTCAGCAGCTGTGACCATTTTCTCAAGTGAAATTCTCATATTTTCAGTTACTCTACAATAATAAACAACAGAAAAACAGCTTTATAAAATTGAGAAGGACAGTGCACGGGTGATGGCTGAGTAACTTCCATCTTAGGAGATCCTCCTATCAAGCCCATCCTAATAGTCATTCTATTCAGGGAACCTTGGTGGAACTCACAGTCATTTCTGGGACATTCCTGGGTACTGAATTAAATACCAAACTCAAGCACTGTGCTCACAAATCACCTTGAAAGGGGAGCTGGGTAACTACAAGTGATGTGCAGTGTTAGTGTGGTCAGACTTAACTTAAAGGAAGAAACACTGCAACAGTGAAACCTAGAGACTCATTTCCTATCCAAAGTGGGATAAAAGTACACAAACCACTGCCTGGCCAGCGATCCAGAAAAGAATGAAATGTGGCATCATGCCTTTGTGAGATGTCATGGAAATATAGAACAGAATGCAATTATAGACCAGCTCCACTTCAGCAAACCACTGCAGCGAGAGTATTCATGATACGAACTAACCCAACCGGGAATAAAGCAGGTGCAGAGGGAGAGCTGGGATCACAGGGCACCATTTGGTTTGAGGTGTTCTTTATCCAGATCTGTGTCCCTTCTTTTTTTGATTTCTTCCTTCTGAGTTTAGTCTGAGGTTTACCATTCTCCAGCCAGGACTCTCACTGCCTTTGGTGCATCTCTACTGCTCCGTCCTTCAACCTGAAGGCAGGCAGTGGGTGGGAGCTGGCTGCTGGCTTCTGGTGAGTAAGGCCGATTCATGCCAAGTGGCCTTTACTTCCTAGTGGGCTGCCTTCTTTTGCAATAAGGTTCCCACTGCTAAGAAAATGACTAAGTCTCTTAAATCCTGTCTCCATTTGTAGGGCAAAGGAAGGAAAGCAAAGGCATTATGAAGCCTTCTTACTTCAATAAGCCAGCATGACACCCAATTGTCAGTTTTCTGAACTCTGAAATTCCACAGAAAATAACATAATGGTCAGATTCCTATGATCTCACAGAATTTATTTCCTGCTCTCTCCCCCTATTCGTATTCTTCTTCCTCAGACATGAATTTCATGTCTACTCTGTATTAGAGACTGTGGTGGAAATAAGATTACTATGACAGCCTCTTGTGTGCCTTACAATATGTTTAGGAAAACAAACTTGTGAACAGACCATGGCACACCGCCACAGGAACTGAATAAGAAGCCCACGAGAAATGAAGGAGCTCCAAAGGGAAAGATATGTGATCCCTCTTGGGGATCCTGGACGAAGCTGGATCGACTGGGTGATTCATGCAGCATACCTCAAAGGTACCCACTAAACACACAGAGGAATGCAAGGCTTCATTCTGACCAAGAACTAAGGAAAGTCAGGAATGTAATCTGACAGGAAGTATTTTGGGATATCCAAACAGTTTGTAACGACTGCAGCTTACAACACATAATGATAGCCTTTGTGATGAACACTTGTAACCGTTTTGCCATCAAAAACCTGTAACAAAAACTGAAAGGAAGAGAGGCCAACAGCAAGGAAACAAGTTATGTTAGGCCATTTAAATCAAAGCCTATGATATGAATAGGGATACCATTTTCCATTAATGACCTGAAATTGACAAATTCTTATGTCTCAACCTAACATGATTAAACACTTCCCACTCAGTTCTTAGTAATTTCTATTGAGAAGAGAATGACTTAAAGCCATAAATAACCTTATTTATCTTATATCTGCTTTTGGAGTAGATCGTGTGTTTTTTTATTTTTAAAAGCAGGCACTACGGCTTCCTAATGAAGTTTTGTGCTTAGATTGGTATTAAAAGTAGTTGGATTTTCCTGAAAGAGCACCAGCAGCACAACAATGTGGCTGAGGAGCAGACTAGGGACTAGAAAACTCAGGTCCTGACACAAGCACAGTGGATAACGGAGAGTTGGATTTGGATAACTCATAGTCCCAGTCACAGTGAAGCCACAGGCAAAATGACCAGGCTCTGCTCACTCTCTCAGTCTGCGCATATGTGCCATTTTAAGTCAGCGTGCTTCATTTCAAGTCCATCTTTAAAAACACCGTTAGCTGGGCATGGTGGTGTACACTTCAAATCCCAGCACTCAGGAGGCAGAGTCATGTAGATCTCTGAGATTTTGAGTCCAGCCTGACCTACATAGAGAACTCCAGACTAGCCAGGAATGCATAGTGAGACCCTGTCTCAAAAAAAAAAAATCAAAAAGTGATAATTCTTAAATTTTAAAAACCTGTTTGTTGAAACAAAGGAAGAAAATATTATAATATAGGAAATGGTGCTGAAAACAAAATAAAATTAGAAGTCATTTGCAGAGAAAGGAAGTGGTAATTGATTGATAATAACACTAACCAATGTTTGTTTAAATCAAAACAGAATTCAAAGTTCTTTTCGTCTTTTGTGGCAGCAAGTTAATTAGGCTCTTGCACAGTTTCTGACCAAAAGGTTGAGAACTGTACATACTGGCAATGTGGATGAAAACTAAATCGTCTTTTATATTTTTTTCCTGCCCTGCTTCCACACTCCCACTGCCTTCTGCATTTACAAACTTCAGTTTTCTTGATAGCTGTGGAAAACGAGACTTTGGAATCACCCATTTCATCAGCCTGAAATTATATCTGCCCCTATTACCATGAAGGCTGAGTCTGCAATACAGAAAGAACGCTAGGTAGTCAGTTATGGTACAGCAACACACACACACACACACACACACACACACACACACACACACACACACACACATACACACACACACACCTGTATTGTTGCTAGTGTCTCACAATAAGCCTTTGGTTAAGAACCGATAGGCAAAGAAAGCTGGACATTCAAGGCTCCTTAAAATATTTCAAAGTAAGCTGTGTGGTAGAGGCACACACCTCTGATCCCAGCACTCCAGACACAGAGGCAGGCAGATCTCTGTGAGTTTGAGACCAGCCTTGTCTACAGAGTGAGTTCTAGGACAGCCAGAGTTACACACAGAGAAACCCTGTCTTGAAAAACAAAAAATAAAATATTTATAAGTATAACCTTTTACTTTCAAGAGAAAAAAATAACAGTTTGACATAAGAACACGTTCAGCTTGAAATCTATAAGACAGACAGACAGAGGAAGAGATAGATACATTTCAAGGATATTTTTTTCCAGAAATTACGTGATACAGGAAACATAGAACTGAACAAGGGGCTTTGAGCCCCAGTCTGTGTTATAAAACTTTCTTCCTGTGTGAATTTACGTGTCATTTCACTTCTTCACTTCTCAATGATAAAACTAGAAGTTGAATTTGATGACTCAAAGGCAGTCCATAGGCTTCCTGCATCAGGAGCACCTTGGTAGTCTGTTACAATACAGGTTGCTGGGCCCATCGACACCAGCTGAGTCAGCATCCATCTGGATGACTCCTATTTAATCACAACAAAATTTGGACATCACAAGCTTAAACTATGCTTCACATTTTTATATTTTCAGTCTAGCTTTGAGGTTGAGATTAATTTAAAGCTAAGATAGAAAGAAATCTAGCCTTCACATTCTTGGATAATGGATAGAATCTCTGATTGTTAAAAAGTTGTATATCAATTTCTATATATTAGAATTAGGTTGGATATAAGTTTGATTCCCTGGAAGATTAGATGGAATAAAGGCCAAGGACTTTGAGATCATATTTTTTAACGTAGAGAGAAATCAGGCATTTGCCACATAATACAGTTAATTTGTAACCCTGCTCACCGAGGCCCAGTTTCTAGAATATATGTATTAACTGTAAGCTGCCATAATCTCTCCTAGAAATTTATTCCTAGACTAGTAAATACCAGCTCCCTGAAAGCTACCCTGAGTTCCAGTCAGGAGATGCTGAAAGCTTTTTGAACATTTCATTCTGGTTGAGTTTTTCAAAACCAGTCAATGATTACAGACCTCTTTTACTAGCATTAAATAAAACTCGTATGTAAAATGCCCTTGAAAATTACCGCTGCCAGACTTCCAGCCTCAGGTCTGAGCCTCAGACACACTGCAGAATAAAAAGTCAGTGAACTATGAATGTGTATATTTAATATATTATGTGTACATTTATGAATATAATACACAGGCAAGTGTCCAAGTCCAGAGGTCAAGCACTGGGTCTGAGACGTTGCCAAGGTACAGCTGGCTTAACCATTGTCAGCTCCATTTTCTCAGCTGCAAACCAGAAATCATGGGAATAAAGTGGAGCAGCCTGTGGGACTGTTGTGAGGATTAAATGTGATATTTGGTATTTAAAAAAAAAAGATGCTTCGCAATTATTTGCTATGGTTTATTTGACACATTATTACAAACTTTCCATTAATGCTGACATTAATCTTGACATTTATTAATTTTCTTAACAA